GGTTGTAGCCTTTTTAGTCCCTGCTGGAATGTTTTTTTTTATTCTGTGGCTCCTGGGGTTTGTGTACTGTACTGTGTGGTGTGCTGAACAGTACTCATGGCTCCAAAGAAAAAGCAGACCAGAGGGAAGGAGATCATCTATCTTCATTCAAGTGAAGAAGGACATCATCGAAAAGTATGACCATGGCATGTATGTGACTGATCTGGCCTCTGAATACAAAATGCCGAAGTCAACTGTCTCCACCATTTTGAAGAAGAAAGATGTGTTGAAAGAAATTGATGTGGCAAAAGGAGTCCTAATCCTAAAAAAGAACAGGACACCCCTGATTGAAGAGGTGGAAAAACTTTTACTGGTGTGGATGGATGAGAAACAGCTGAAAGGGGAAAGCATCAGTGAAGCCATGATTCGTGAGAAAGCCAAGAAGCTGCAGAGTGATTTAATGGAAAGAAAACCCTCTGGAAGTGCACCACAAGAAGAATTCAAAGCCAGCAGGGGGTGGGTTCAAAACTTCCAAAAGAGAAGTGGCATCCACAGCATTCTAAGACATGGGGAGGCTGCAAGTTCTGACCATGCCGCTGCAGAAGCCCTCAAGTTGGACTTTGTCAAATTCATCAAGGAAGAAGAATACCTCCCCCAGCAAGTTTTCAACTGTGATGAAACAGGGCTCTCTGTGAAATGTCCTCCACAGCTCTCTTCTGGAAGAAGATGCCCAGCAGAACCTTCATCATTCAGGAGGAACAGAAAATGCTAGGCCACAAACCCATGAAGGACAGATTGACCCTTTCAGCACCACCAGCGATCTGAAGATCAAGCCTCTGCTGGTGTGCCACTCCCAGACTCCTCACCCATTCCATCAAGAGAAAGTTAACAAGGCCACACAGCCTGTCATGTGGATGACCAACGCAAGAGCTTGGATGACACAACAGCTGCTTCTGGAGTGGGTCTATGAAGTGTTTGCACCCAAAAAATATATTTCTGACAAATGGCTTCCTGAAAGGTGCCTTCTGCTGATGGACAACGCCCCGGCACACACTCCCACCCTTGGTGGATGACATTGATGACAAGTATGACTTCAAGGTCATGTTTCTCCCTCCCAACACACCTCTTCTGCAGCCCATGGACCAGCAAGTGTTCAGCAACTTCACGAAGCTCTACACAAAGGTGCTCTTCACCAGGTGTTTCAGTATCACCAAGGAGATGTCCTTGACCCTGAAAGAGTTCTGGAAGTCACATTTCAATGTCCTCCACAGCGTCAGACTCATTGACAAGGCCTGGCAAGATGTCACAACTTGGACCTTGAACTCAGCCTGGAGGAAATTGTGGCCAGAATGTGCCACAGACATTGGCACTGAGGTGACCGATGCACAGGTGGTGAGGGACATTGTCTCCATGGGTGAAGGCACGGGTCTGGATGTCAATGAGGAGGATGTAGAGGAGCTGGTTGAAGACCATGAAGAGGACTTGGCCACAGAAGAACTTGCAGAACTGCAAACTGAGCTGCAGGAGGCTCTTATGGAGGAGCTTTCCACTGATTTCTTTTCCACTATTTTACTTGTATTTATTGTTTAGTTGAATAGTTCTGTTGTTATTCCATTATTGAGGTCTTAAAGATTATGTGCATTGGCCCTATATTTCATTTTTAAAAATTGAAGCCAAAGTGGTTACTATGTACATCATAAAATGAAATTAGAATTTAACCTGTAAAATGTGGTATATGAAGGGTGCGGATTTTTAATAGTGTGTGATGTGCTATTACAAGATCAGAACATGCATAACTAAGTGTGAAATAGAAATTAATTAGCTAGTAAGAAATAATTGGAATGAAAATGAAATAATTGTCACCTATCAAAGTAACACAGGAAAACAGAGGAAATAAGATATGTGCAGAAAATTGGTGTTATTTAGCACTTTATTCTTAGCTGTTAAAAACCAATATGCTTCTCCAATTTTGGTTCTTAGCCACCTTAGCAATATTCTGTACAGCAATTCACATTTTAATTATGAGCACTTGTAAGTTCTTAATCATTAGAGTAGCATTTTCTTTACATAATATAATGAAGGCTTTGCAACTATGAAAAGCCTTAATTATGTGAGAGACAGAATAGAATGAGAAAAGTAACTAATTTTCCTGCCATTCACAAAATATACCTATAACTTATTTGTACACCTTAGCAAATACTTGACTGAGATATCTCCCTTAAAATATTTCAGAATTAATTTCATTTCAGCATGCTGGCTTTTCTGTGGTTTAGAAGAAATGAAGACACTGGTAGTTGATTGCACTGCATTCTTATGTGTTAATATTTTACCACTTCATAGCATCATTCTGGCATATCTTGGAGTTCAACATCAGTTTCAGTTGAACAATGTTATACTGGAGATTTCCGATGTAATTGAAATGCATTTTTTCCTTGAGTTTGATAGTTACTTCTGTAGGCAGGTTGTCATTTCATGTTGCAGTTGTTCAGTAAAGAACTGCAGTTGTAAAATCACCATAAATTTTATGTGGAGGGTTTCCTTGCATATGCTAAAAGATAAAAGGACTATACTACTTAAGCTTTGCTTTCTTTTACCATGTTGTGTCTTACTTCAGATTCAGCATAGTGTCTCATAGACACTGATAGTCACATAGAACAGGACGTGATTAGAGATGGGCATGAACCTTGGTTTGGAGGTTTCTGCTTAGAGATGGGCATGAACCTTGGTTTAGAAGTTTCTGCCGGTTCGTAAGTGTGGCAGCACAGGTGCTGTGTGTTCTCTTCCGCCTCCTCCCCAGCCAATGGCCCACTCGCCAGCTGGAGCACACTGCTCTCCTTCCCTTTGGCTGTTCAGCCTATCCCGGCAGGAGCACCCGGGCTTCCCTGATCCGCCTCCTTGCCAGGGACCACTGAAGAGGTGGAGGAGAGGAGTGTGCACTGGCTGGTAAGTGGGGCAGAGAACATGCGGCCTATAATGCCACACTTCTGAACCAGCACGAATCTCCGTATTGAGATTTGTGCCCATTTCTAGATATATTATGTGCCAAAATACTGGAATCTGTTGCTTTCTAGGCACTAAAGAGCAACAAGCTTTAGCACAGTTACTACAATATTTGGTGGAAGATCAGCCAGCAGTGTTTTGTACTGCTGCAATTTACTGTTCAGGCATTAAACAGGCATCCGGAAACATGGGTTTCAAGATTGTTTATAACCGAAAATTTAGTGAATTTGAGGAAACTGGTAGCTAAAGGGAAACATGGGTTTCAAGATTGTTTATAACCAAAAATTTAGTGAATTTGAGGAAACTGGTGGCTAAAGGGCTTTCAGCAGTAACAAAATGAATAGTGCAGCTTTAAGGTTACCTGGTCCGGTGCCTCTGGTGTACTCCTATCTCCCTGCACCTTGTTTCCTTGAGATGGGGGGGGGACATAAGAAGATGCAACAGGGAAGACCCATAGATCTCAACCAGATGACTGATTTCTCCTTTCCACTTCTCGTTCTTGGGTTACCCAGGTTCTTTTGAACTGCAACTCCCAGAAACCCCAGCCAGCACAGCTGGTGGTGAAGGCTTCTGGAAGTTGCAGTCCAGAAACACCTGGGTAACCCAAGGTTAAGAACCACTGGCGTAAGGTTTGTGTAATTTGTCAAGGCTAATTTATTATGTGCCAGGGCACAGCCTTGGTTAGGTACATAACTAAGCAGATGATCGAAACATGCACACCTTATTAGTTATTTGCTATTAGAAGTTACACAACCATATGCAAACACCAATAGTGTTCTGACCTATGTTGTATGTTTGTGTGAATGAGGTGAGGGCAGTTATGCTATAGAATCCTCACCAGGAAGCAGGCTGAGTCTGCTACTCAGACTATTCCCTTTCTAAGTATTGCAGCCTTTAGTAAAATTTCATAAATCTCTACATGTAACAAGAATTATACAACACCATATGTGAGGCACTCGTGTGAGGCACCACTGTACAACACCATGGATGCAAATACTGCACAGAATAATGTGAACTGGAAACCACGGCATGTTGTTTATTTAACAATTACATTGAATTATTTCCTGGTATGTTTTACAGCAGCTGTCGCATTTTTCAGAGTTTTATGCAGTATTTGCAAGTTGGAGTGCTAGTGGGGGAGAAAAAAATATCCTAGCCTCACTTTAAGAGGACTATCTCTGAAAGCATTGGGCAAGTTCTCATCCATAATGGTGAATCTGTGTGGTGCTCACAGTGTTTAAGTGACATACATATGATATAATGCTTCTAAAGTACCTGGTTGATCCCACCAATGTGATCCATTTGCCTTTGAGTGTGACTGCCCAAACAGTAAGCGCTTGCTGTATACCAGTAGCTCCCAATCTTGGTTAACTCAAGGTGCTCTTGGACTGCAACTCCCAGAAACCTTGGCCAGTATAGCTGGTGGTGAAGGTTTCTGGGAATTGCAGACCAAGAACACCTGGATTACCCAAGGTGGACACCACTGTTCTGTAGCAAAAGGACATGCCCTTGAATCAAATTCAAGGATAGAGAGTAGTTAAATCTTGAGCCATAACGTATAAAGTTGTGAACACTATGTCAGTTTTCTATGCCTGTGTCTTTGGATAGATTTATGTAACTAGTCTTTGTTTTATCCTTAGCAGCAATGGTCCGTAATGGCAAAAATGGAGAGCTTCATTTGAAACAGATATCATATTACAAACAAACAGGTGGCTATCATCCCACAACATTAGCAAGTGAAAGAAGTGGAATAAGAAGAGCGGCCAAAAAGTTTGTTTTCAAAGGTAAGGGATAAAAGAACGACTTTGGATATTCAGAGTGCTATGTTGTGCTTTGAGTAAGGACCAGAGCTGAACAATGTTTGGCTTGTTTGGTTTTTAATCTAATAGAAATACATCACCATACACCTGTAGAATAAAATTAAACTTAATTTTGTTCTACAAAGGAATTCTTCATTAATATCTAACAGTCTAAATAGTAATGAAAATCAGTGTGATGAAAGGATTAATAGCAATACTGGGGCTTGGGAGATTCTGGTTTTAGTCCTCACTCAGCCACAAAAGTAACTGGGTAGCTTTGGTCCAGTCACTCTCTCAGCCTGATCTGCCTCACAGTTGTGTTGAAAAAATAAAGTCAGGAGGGGGACTTGATGTCTGCATTCAACCACCCAGGATACTGTCCTTTGGGGTTTGTTTGTTTTCCCCCAGAAAGCCCCCTTTCATCCTCTAGTGGCAAAGATTATTAAAAATTTGAGGATGTGACTGGAGGGGCAGGAGTGCTGAGGGCTCTCCCCAATATGGCAGAATTGCCCCCCCCTTTTTTATATAGGCACAAGGGGACTTCTAAGTATAATTATAATAACAGTAGCAGCAGCAGCAGCAGTAGTAATTTTTTTTGTGGGTATGAGAATAGGGGTAAAGGTAAAGGTTCCCCTTGACAATTTTTGTCCAGTCGTGTTCGACTCTAGGGGGCGGTGCTCATCCCCGTTTCCAAGCCATAGAGCCAGCGTTTGTCCGAAGTTTAATTATACAGGCTACACATTGCCCCCCCAGCAAGCTGGGTACTCATTTTACCGACCTCGGAAGGATGGAAGGCTGAGTCAACCTTGAGCCGGCTACCTGGGATTTGAACCCCAGGTCGTGAGCACAGTTTTAGCTGCAGTACAGCGTTTTAACCACTACGCCATGAGGCTCATCCTCTAGTGGCAAAGATTATTAAAAATTTGAGGATGTGACTGGAGGGGCAGGAGTGCTGAGGGCTCTCCCCAATATGGCAGAATTGCCCCCCTTTTTTATATAGGCACAAGGGGACTTCTAAGTATAATTATAATAACAGTAGTAGTAGCAGCAGCAGCAGTAATAATAATTTTTTGTGGGTATGAGAATAGGGGTAAAGGTAAAGATTCCCCTTGACAATTTTTGTCCAGCCGTATTCGACTCTAGGGGGCGGTGCTCATCCCCGTTTCCAAGCCATAGAGCCAGCGTTTTGTCCAAAGACAATCTTTCGTGGTCACATGGCCAGTGCGACTTAGACACGGAACACTGTTACCTTCCCACCGAGGTGGTCCCTATTAATCTACTCGCATTTGCATGCTTTCGAACCACTAGGTTGGCAGGAGCTGGGACAAGCGACGGGCGCTCACTCCGTCACGTGGATTCGATCTTACGACTGCTTGGTCTTCTGACCCTGCAGCACAGGCTTCTGCGGTTTAGCCCACAGCACCACCACCTCCCTATGAGAATAGGGGTGCTGAATTTAAATCCCTGATTTAAATCTCAGCCCATGAGACACACTTTTTAAGTTGCATATCCTAACCTATTTTTGAGGTAGTGGTTGTATCTTTGCTCTCCTTTGAATTTTTATTGCAGGGTTTGTGCTGTTGCATTTTATTGACTATTTATCTGCATTATATTTCCTCTAAATATGAAATATGAATATGATATATAAATATGAAAGCTGCCGCAGTAACACAACAGTGTTGAATGTGGAGTATGCAGATTTAGGAAACCAGCTGAATCCTGTGCCATTCAGCTGTAATCTTTTGTCATGGAAGCTGTACATTTCAATAGGGGGAAAAAGCTGAGATATTTTCAGCCATACAGAAAAGTAGTAACTGCACTGACCATCAAAGTTGAACTTTCTGCCTCTCTTGAGCAGCTACTTTAAGACCTACTCTTGGATAATTTCAAACAGCAACTGAACAAAACTATCACAAGTGGCATGAAATAACACCATCCACCAATTGCTCTCTTTCAGATAATAAGCTATTCTATGTGGGAAAAGACAAGAGACAAATGCGTTTGGTAATTCTTTCGGAAGAAGACAAGAGGAAAGTGTTAGAAAATTGCCATGAAAACCATTCAGGTACACACCATGGCATCTCAAGGACACTGACCCTGGTGGAATCTCAGTATTATTGGACATCAGTAACCAATGATGTCAAACAGTGGGTATGAATCACACTGACATCTTATTTTTTGACATTTGTGAAATTTTCCCAGTGATAACAATTGGCTGATTTTTAAAAAAAATCTGTTTTGCATGATCTGCTGTTTACCATACTGGAGATTTTTCTGTTTCACAGTTAAGCAACTTAACATTAGAGATGCAGTTTCAGTCTCCTCATCATAACAGGTTAAAATTGTCCAATAGTTAGAATGTCTTGTGCTGACAGATGCACTGGCATAAAAGCCAGAAGTGTGATGCATCACCATGGAGAAAATATGGATTCCCATATTGCAGCCTTGATAATGATATTTTTTCAGAGCAGGATGCCAGGCCTATCTTCACCAAGCACTGGTTCATTGTTAAATTCAGTTTACTGCTCATAGAGAATACATGCCATGAAGTATTTTACAGCCCCTTCGATCATTTACCAAAAGTCATATGAAGAAAGCTTTTTATTTATTATGACAGAGGCTAATTATGCCTACAGGTGCGGGTAGTCATAGATGAACATTATTTTATTTAAGGTTACTATGTACTGCTTGAGGAAAGATACAAAACAAATGCATTTTGGTAGTCCTTGCATTTTAATTTCACTCTCTTTTCCTTGACCCTTCCAGCAGCATTACTTTGGGTTACTGTTGCATTGGGCTGTGATCAAGACCAGTTTCATCCTTAGAGCCCAGTAGCAGAGGAGTTACTTTAACAAACTATGATTTACTTTTGTAGTAAAAGCTTATCTATTCTGAGCCATCTTAACATAGTGAGGTATAAACAAAAGTACAGTGTTCCACTCTTAGATCTCTGTGATTCTTTAAAAATACTTGTGTTTCATGCTGGGATTATCTTTCTAATATTGTTCATGATTATTTGTTTATGGGATGCATATTATCTGCAACTTGATACTTCAGAATAACTTGATAGACCATAGTACCATGTCTTGATTAGCTGACAAACAATTGCTTTGTGCTAGTTAGCATGGCTTGATATGACATCAAGATAATATATGCTACAGAAAGTCTGGTGGTTCTAATTTTCAGCAGCTGTGTTAGTTCTTTAAGGCTTTTAAATAGATAAATGAAAGCTTCACAACTAGATCAATAAAAAAAATCAAGTTAAGTTGCATGCCTTTTTTGTCTGTGAGTTTTTCTTTTCTCTTACTATAGAAGATTTGTTTGATATTTATAGCTTCCAGGCACTCAGGTTTCAATGTGGTTCATCTATGTTAAGAATGGAACTACAATGAATATCGAAACAACTTTTTAGCAAAAATAGTGTGAAGGGGGTTAATATTAACACGTATTTTCATTTTTCCCCTTCCAGGTCAATGCTTGCCAGCACTGTCAAGTTGGAAAAAATATAGCTATTGTGCCCCCCAGATTCCATGCTATTAAGGCAGTGGACCCATGGACTATACTTAACTTAGACCTACTGGGTCCTTTTGGTGCCACCAACAAAAACCACATGTATGTGATCCTCCTGACAGATGTCTTCACTAAATGGGCTGTGATTTTGCCATTGCATGATGTTTCAGCTGCTGAAGTTGCTAAGGCAGTTGTCCATGTATCGTTCTCTTACGGCCTACCTCAGAAAATAGCTATACCTCAGGGAGAGGAGTTTGTTCATCAGGTATGGGGAAAATGTTGATGAGGAAAAGCAGGCTTGATCATTTTTCATTGAGGGGAGGGGGATGAAGATACAGCTGCTACTATTAGTGTATTGTATAGAACTGGGATCCCCAACCCCTGGTCCGTGGCCTGGTACCAGACCATGGCCTTGGCAGGGCTGGGCTGCGGAGACAGATCTCCCGCCCCCTCTCACATGGCCCCCACACATGCACGCACGGGTGAACCCCGCCCTCCAACCCACACTCACACGAGTGCCCCATCCACCCGCGCGCACGCAGGTGCCCTGCCCACCCACATGCACACATAGGTGCCTCACCCACCCACCCCATCTGGTCCACAGTTCGGAAAAGGTTGCGAACCACTGGTATAGAACACTCTTCATATGTCTCAAGCTTAAAAATGACAACAATTGATTTTGTATCTCAAAACTTGCAAGACGGTGATACAAAACCCTAATTCTTAAAAATCATTCATGTTACTCCAAGAAGTGTATGAGACATGATTTCCTTTTTAAATAGGTGTAACCACTTAAGCTGGTATTCTGTGAGCTTTGTCTGAACAGAAGGATTGTTCTGTTTCTGAAAGAACTTGTTAATTGCAATGCTTGTGCAAGTAGCATGTTCCCCTGTCACTGTGCCAGTAAGCCTTTCCACTCAAAGCTCAATAGGATGCTGGCCTTAGTCATTATCTTCTGCATAAATAACTAGGTCTGTTTGGTTACAGTAGTTATAATACAAATTTACGTGCGTCTTCTTCCATATATTATTAGTATAGCATAAGCTTTAATAGTTGTCGGCATCACTGTGAACAGAAATGCAACTTTAATTACAGATAATTGTGTGCATAACATACTGTTGTAGATAATGGAGCCAGAATTTACTGAGGGGATTAATTAATACCAGCTTCAGATCTGGAATAGATCCAAGGACTACTTTTGGAGGCACAGTGGGATAGCGAGACACTTGGGCTCTTGTGGGTTTTTGGTTGTGCTTTTTCCCCAGAACACCCGGCCTTCCTTACCACTGCCAGTGGGATGAACACTATTAGTAGGGCATCAGCTCCTGTGGAGCTTTCTATGGGATGGAAACATCAGCAGCCATTACTGCTTGCCAAATAGCAGTTACATTGCATCCAGCAACACCCTCAGTAAGCGTTTGGTTGCCTTAAGTATTAGAACCTAAGCTTATACTTATTTCAAATATGTTTAACTATTTAGCCATCTTCTTTTGCATCATCTATATGCAAATTAGATTTATGTTATTCTTCTAGAGACTGACATAGTGTGATTTGCCTTAGGCAATTCCATGCATCTGTTTTAAAGGATGGACTTATCAATTCATTTGTTTTTTTGCATAAGGAGAGTACATACCTTCGGTCCTGTAATCTCTCAATACACAAATTTATCTATGTGGGTTTGCATGGATTTTACAGACAATAGTTTCAGGTTGTCAGATAAACAAGGAGTTATTTCTTTTTAAGAAGTTTTTATTACATTTTTAAAGATCAATGGTGAGCTGTTTGAATTCCTTGGGATGAAGGAATTAATAATGCCGTATCCTGAAAGTGACCATGAATATGACATTGGTGAGAGAATCAGAACTTTCCTCCTCAAATACTGCACAGAGAACACAAAAGATTGGGACGACCATTTAGAAGCTATTGCATATGCTTTCAACTTGTTCCATTCAGTACGTATAGACCACAAAGCATTTCTTGTGTGAATTGAAGCTGAGTATTCTTTTGTATCATGGTGTCAGAAATTAAAAAATATTTGACTTGTTCCTTTCTCATCCAATTTAAATAGAAAAAGGACCAAAACACACCATATTTTGAGTTGTTTCAACGAAACCCATACATGCCTTCACCTTCAGGTGTGGTTCAGGAAAGGAAAAACGACTGCCTCTTTGCTCGGATTGTGACTGCAGTAAAACAAGCCAATAAAGCAGGGCAGGAAAGTACAAGGTCCAGTTGCCAGGTGAATCTCTCCTCTTTGCTCAAGATTCAGATAATTCTGTTGCGGGTGGGAGTATATATGAATGATGCATATTAAGTGTTTCAACATGAGTTTGTCATGCATTCATAAAGTCAGCTTCCAGAGCTACAGATGGAGAATGAATATATTTTCCAAAAGTAGATAAAGTATTTTATTGCGATTAGGCTCCGCCAAGCTTCCAAAGCTATACAGAGCAATTTTGCTGCACAAAAATAAAAGCTTACAATATAGTAGTTAGAGCAAGATGAACTCTATTCAGACTGTTTCATTTGGAAAATAGGAAGATGAAAAAACATCTGTTGCTTACGAATATATACCCCAGATTGTCACAAAAAGTATACAGTTCTGTGTGCAGTTATACAGCTGATTTCATGGGTTATAAAATGTAGAACATGGTCTTTTGATCAAAACATCATGAATGAATGACGTTCACTATCAGGGGCTGGGGAGGCACCTCCCCAGGTATTGGAGAGCACTACAGAGTTCTACAATATCAAGGTTATGAACATACGGCTTGGGTCCAGGTTATTTGAAGGATTGTACTGAATAAACTCATGAGAGCCTTCTTGGCTTTTAAGATCTTCTGGGAAGGCTCTTCTCTCAGTTCCAGTACTTTTCCAAGTTTGGTGAGGATCCAAGAGATGGCCTTCTCAGTGGCTGCTCCCAGGTTTTGGAATGCACAGACCCAAGAAAGCAGATTGACTCCTCCTGTCTTGCCCTTCCATCATCAAGTAAAGACCTTCCTCTTTAGGCAGGCCTTTACATAGTAAATTACCTCAGGAATGCAGGTTTTTTAACTTTTTAACTTAACCAATTTATAATTGTTTTTCAATCGTTTTTATACTTGATTTTTAAAAATCTTAATGTATGTTTAACTGCTTTTTAATGTAATATTTATGTAGTGTTATTAAATTTATTTTATCTGTTGTGAGCACTTGGGTCCCCTATGGGGACAAAGTTGGCAAATAAATAAATATCTAACAATCTTTCTTCTTAGGATATGAAGAAAATGCATGTTAAGCTACAGAAGGGAAGTAAGCGCCACATTAGGAAGAAGCCAAAGCAGTGGAACCCATATCTTCTTAAAGTTGGCCATGAAGTTCTCAGACAAAGGAAAAATTGGTGGAAAGATGGTTCTTTTCACGCTGAATGGATTGGTCCTTGTATTATAGACTACATCACTGATAATGGCTGTGCAATATTAAGAGATGTCGCAGGCTCAAGACTGAAAAGGCCTATTAAAATAGCACATCTTAAACCATATATTAGAGGATCTCAAGAACAAGGTGACACTTATTTGCTATTCTCATGAGTTTCCCTTTTGTTAAAGGACTACAAGCAAAGAGCCAACAAAACCAAACATAGAGTTTGGTGTTTCCTAGTCTTGTGCTTATGCAGTGATATTGAGAAACCTAAGTTTTCCTGCCTTATAAAATTGAGGTCCCATGTTCTCCCCTCCTCCAGCAACTATACAGATTGTGCGCTGCCTTTTGAAAGGCATCCATGACATGAATTGAGAGAGAAGCTAGGTTTGGGAAAAGCTTGAAAACATTCCAGTGTTGATTTGCAGCGGGCATGAGTACAATAGTTAACAGAGTCCAGGATGGTTGTCGTCTTCCACTGAGTGTGCAGCTTTGGGAGGGACGCACAAGGAGCAGTGTTTTGTTTAGAGAGGGATGTCTACTAAGAAAAGAATAGAATAGGAAATTTTTGCATTGTATTTTGTGTCAGGGAGTTCAGTGGTCAAAAGCAAAATGAGGGCTTCCTTACTCCCCATGTCTCCCACATAGTGTCAGGCTAAGTTACTCCATTTCAGTCAGTGCTATTCCATTTCCTCTAACCCACTGCTGAGTCACCAGGCATGATATTTAGAAAGACAGAAAGAGCCAAGTGCATGCTACACAGTTTAAGAGTCTCAATTTTGATACAAAAAAAGTCTATTTTTAGAGAGGATTTTGGTACAAAGCACCACAGTTAACAGTCTCTTGTCCAGTTTTTCAGGTAAACTTCTCACAAGAAAATCTAGTTTTTGTATATGGATGTGAGGGTGATCTGTCTGCAACATCTGTCACCCCATTGATTGCCAGGATTGATTTGGCTGATTGACTGGCTAGGCGGTTATCTGCTTCTTCCCTCACTGCTCCTTGTGCATCCCTCCTGAAGCTGCACACTTGGTGCAAGAGGACAGCCATCCTGGATTCTGTTAACTAATATTTATATAATGTCCCTGTCATAAAGTGTTACATGAATAGAAGAATCCCTGCGCTGGTACAACTGTGTTGTTCTTCCTTTCCATTCAGAGTTGCGTGATTTTATCAGGCATTTGACATGCCCATCTGCCTAAGTGAAGGTAGATCACTGAAATGTTACATTTGCTTCATGTTCAGGTATAGCATAAAACAACCATTAATCAAGATGTTTTTGCCTATTACAGGTAGCAGTCACATTTGGCAAAGTGCCCATGCGATTGACCATGACTATATTGCTTCAGCTGAAACTGCTATGAAGCAAAGCTTAGAAGACACGTTCTTTGCAAATGGACAATCTCCTCCTGCCCCTGAGGATATCGGGCTGGAAAGGGATCTTGTTTTATCCAAAAATAATGCACAGCTGGAATTTATAGATACACACCCCACTGACTCCATTGCCACAGACTCAAAGCAGTGGTCTGCACCTTACTGGGCTCTCCAAAATAAGACAGAGGCTACTTGAATCAAGTGCAGTAAGCTTAAATAGGAGTAAATGGCACCAGATTTGTCAATGCCATGTAAAGGGCTCTGCTGTGTTTGTTACCTTTGCCAAGAACTAAACATTGGACTGAAGGACTTAGATGTGACTGCTGGTCCTGGTAGAGTAGCGTGTTTGACTCGGTTGCTGAATGGAAGCCAACTGTTGGCTATATCACTTTGATTCAGTTTAACCTGCAATTGGATTTAGGCTGGGTGTGTCTGCAAGTAATGTTAAAGAATAATTGAGTATGATATGGTTGAGCAGCAGTGAGCCTTGGGCTTGTATACTCTCTCTTTCCTCCATGCAGCCACAGGAAGGAAACTGGAAGCTTTTATTTCCATTTTTTTTGGTTAATTGCAGGTCACTGCTACGTCAAAACCCAGAAAAATTATGGTTGATGTTAGCTAGTATCTAACAGAAGTTAATGAGCCCTTCTTGTATTCCTAATGTAGGAGCAGATAACTCTTAGGCTGACAAGCTCATCCTCTCAGTGGCAAACTAGCAATTTCAAAGAGGCCACATACTCTACTAGTTAAGGAAAATTATTGAGAACATGCATGAGTCATTCCGATTGTAAACAATAATAAAATAATAAAACTGAATCTTGCTTTTTAGTTGGAGTCACTCTCCCTTCTGGTCTGATAGAAAGAGTGGTGCAGGGGATCTCCCAAGGCTGAGAGAAGACCTACAGCAATAAACAGCAGTTTTCCAGAACCTCAAAAGGGCTACTCTTTTCCTTCTTCCCACTTCTTCCTTGTCACCCAGTGGGTTGGTGAGCAAAGGACAGGTGGTTCTTACAGAGGTCTTGTAAAATTAGGATGAGAGGTACATGCCTTGAGAAAAAAAGACGGGGCAGGGGGGGAGAGAGACTTGAAATTAGTCAGACAAGTCACCCAGTGGGTTGGTGAGCAAAGGACAGGTGGTTCTTACAGAGGTCTTGTAAAATTAGGATGAGAGGTACATGCCTTGAGAAAAAAAGACGGGGCGGGGGGGAGAGAGACTTGAAATTAGTCAGACAAAGGAGGGACAGGATCTGTTCTCAATCATCCTAGATTACAGGACATATAATAATGGGCTCAAGCTACAGTAAGCCAGATTTAGGCTGAATATCAGGAAAACTTAATTGTTAGAGCAGGTTGCCAACAGAACCAATTACCTCAGGAGGTTATAAGCTCCCCAACACTGGAGACATTGAAGAGAAAATTAGCCAACCATCTTATCAGATTTATTTTGATTTAGATTCCTGCACTGAGCAGGACATCAGACTCGATGGCATTATAAGCCCATTCCAATTCCATAATTCTATGATATTTTGAACATGCAAATTTCATCTTCAGTTTCAATACAGTTCCATTAAATACAGTTCTATTTTGTGTTCATAACGAAGTGATTTACTGGGTGATTTGTGCCATCTGGTAGAGAATTTAAATAATTCCAAAACAAGGGTGAGTAATGCTGTTACTGGGCCACTGTAACAGTAAAACAGCAGGGCCACTGCAAAGATTAAGAAGTATTGTAAACGTTAAGCAGGCAGGGTGTGAATCAGGGTAGTTCATATATCCTGTCCAGAGGTTTTAGTCTGAGGATCTGGATTCAAGCCATGTCCCATGATGGAGTATGGAAGCTTGTTGCATAAAAGTAGAATGCATTGTCTTTCTCTGTGTAGACAAAGAGTGGCCAGTCACCGTTACTGGGTTTTTGATTACTTATTAAATTACTTTAATCCAGCCAATTCTTGATTTCTCTCTTACTTTTCCTTCTTTATTTTACTGCTGTTGTTTGATTATTATGTATTTGCCTATGTTTTTATTATCTGATTTTATATTGGAAGCTGCCTAGAGTGGTCTGGTGGGCCAGATAGGCGGGGTATAAATCAAATAAATAAATAAATACATAAATACTTAAAGGTTTTGAGTAAACATTATTGGTTTGTTAGGCATTTTCAATTTGAATCAACATTTAAAATTTGGATGGAGATAGCTTTCCTAGCTGTTCTACAGAAGCTTAAGGAGCAAATTGTAAGCTTCAGGAAAGCCACTGACCTGTCTCCATTTTTCATTCAGTAATTTCACAAGCTGTGTGGTAAATAGCATTTCATGCAGAACAACTTATTTCTGTTTGATAGCAATATCCTCCTTAAAGCAAACTTGGAGTATAATACACCATACAGAAAATTCTTGCCTGTTGGCCTTTCAGCAAACAAGATTATAGCTGGATTAGAACACATGAAATCAGGAATTCACAGACTTTTAGGATCACATTAATATAAAGATAAAAGGGGTGAGGGATCTGCAACAAAATGTTAGTGTATGTTACAGGAATGTGTGGCATGGAGAGCTGAAAACAGGATTCGCTGCTCTTGCCTGAGTCTTCTATAGGTTTCTGCATTTATTACTAGATTGTCCTGGGAGATAATCTGAGGGGGAACAAGTTAAATATATTAACTATTGCTGTAACATGAGAGGTGTAATTTTTGAATGTGAAGCCAGACCAACCTTAGCCCCACTATTTATATATTAAAAAGGACCCATATTGAAGGGTTGTAGGTTACTCTTAAGGAAAGCAATAACCAGCAAGAAATAACAATCAGTATAGGTTATTGCATCATAGTTATGACATTACAGTCATTTTCAGTTAGCCATTGTTTACATACATATTGTCATAGCTACTCCAAGTTCAAGTGCAAAATACTGTTTTTGTTATCCGTGAATTCTTATATGTTGAACTTGAATATAAAACACTGTAGACAGTATTAGACATTATTCCTTACTCTTTTAACCACTAGGTGTCAGGCACTTACTTCAGCTGCAGGAGCGCACTTAAGTGAGAACAAACACAGATAGTTTTGACCAACCAATTGTGTTCAGGTTACTTACAACAAGCTTTGTTACAAAGTCAGGTGTGGTATGAAATATTCCTCATGTATTCTGGAAATGTGCAGAGGCTAGAAACTTAGAGCAGTTCATTAAGGAAGTCAGGGGCAACCAGATTCTGTTGCTGTGCCTGCTCATTCCAGAGGCCAAGGAACAATTTAACCGTTTTCCCACTGCATCAGTCTTATCCCTTACCAGTGTGGAGATGAAAGCAGAATAATACCAAGTCAGATGATTTTACATGTACCGTAAAGCTGCCACACAGAAAACAGGATTGGCTGGGGAGGTGGGGGAAGGCTGTTTCCCTAAGGATGCAAACAAACATATGTGAGAATGCCTGACTGCACTAAATCAGAACCTCTTCAGAAGAATCTGTCATAACAATCCCTTCTTATCCCTACTGGAAGATCAGGATGTAGTTCATTCCACAGAGAAAGCCCACGACTCATTTTAATATATATATTGGAGTGCCTGCCTCTAAAGTTCTTTATGTCTGTGTTACAAAATCACACAGAAGCTGCCATGTATGAAACCTTTTAATGATCTGAAACATAATGCTGCCATAGATTATGAGGAGATGAGCACACGGATCAGTGACTAGAAATTACTGAGCTAGTTGTTCTTTCTGGTTCTCTGATAGCAATTTACAAAAAGTAGCTAAGAGACAGTAGTGCTGAATGGGCCAACATGCAGAAATGTCAGCAGCTAGAATGTTATTCCTAGTCATGCGTTCGTTATAGATGTACTGTACATGATTCTTGAGTATTCCAAGGAAACTGTATACTTTATGTGATCATTTAACCTTAATCTTATAGGGTATGCAAGTATCATGGATTTCACATATCTCTGACCAGAATCAAAAGAATATGTGGCATCTCAAAGAGAGACCTTTTAAATAAAGATGGTGGATATTGTAATATAATATTTTTATCACTTGTGCTCACTACAAGTTGTTTCAGCATGTCTAAGGCTGTCACAAGCCTGTTGTGTACTGTGGCATCAATACACAGAATGCTTTACTGATGAGATCACTAAAATGAATTTGTAAAATAAAAATGTAATAAAACTCATATTTTAAGGGACTCTCTGGTGTGGTTGTATGCCAGAATGATTTTGGACGATGCTAGCAGGCTTTACTGTATTTTGCTGACGAGGGGCCAGATTAATAGATTTGCCACCTACAGTTTGGTTCAACATTCAGGACGAGACAGGCACACTGGGAAATGTGAGACTGTTTTGAATAATAATAGTCCTACTGTAAATGGGGTGAATCATTTCTTCCAGGTTGGATGAAATACCTAATTGAGCTGCAGCATGAAAAAATTATGCTTTGTGAGCCAGCATATACACTACAGATGTACTATCCTCCCCTTGAAAAGAGATTGTAGATCAGCCTAGTCCCTGGGATTTTTAGATCTACAGGGACTTTTCCATGACAAACTCCTAGGAGAACTGAAGATCCTCACTATGCATGATGTAAATTTTACTTCTAATAGAAGGGATTTTGGCTGGGTATCAGGTGAGAAGCGGAGCACTGTCATGAGATGGGATATTTGGTTGCGATCTTGTACTGAAGATGGGTTATGTAGTAGTGAACAATGTAAGAGGGATTCCATATTGGTTCTCTGCATAGATGATTTCTGCAATGCTGACAAAGTATCTGCTAGTAGGAAGATGGGAGAATGCTCTTCTGAAGGCCTGAGAAGAACACTCCACGATAAGATAGATGGACTTTGTTGTGGCGCATTGCAGATGGCTAACCCAAATAACA